GAAACTGTAACAATAGAGTTGCATTAGTTGGTATTCCGCACTGCTCCAGTTCACATGTGTGCAGTGTGCTCGCTTGTTCACAGAGCCAAGCTGATCTTACATGTGAGTCTGACAGTTCGAGATGTACTTTCTGCTTACATGTGTACGACATCTCCCTAGAGTTATTATGCATTGCCATGTGTGATTATAGAGCTAACTCTAGCTTCACTTCTAATGTTACATTTAAATGATTTTTTCTTTCGTATTTTTCTTTTTTGTTTTCTCTCCCGTGTGAGTTATCATGTGTGTCTTCAGATTACATGATTGTGAGAATACAGCGTCACACAGCTCGCACTTGTACGGTTTCTCTTGAGTGTGAGTTCTCATGTGTATCTTCACAGAACACGAATGTGAGAAGGCAGCATCACACAGTTCGCAATTGTACGGTTTCTCTCCCGTGTGAGTTCTCATGTGTGTCTTCAAATGAGCCGATTGTGCAAAGGTAGCATCACACAGATCGCACTTGTAGGGTTTCTCTCCCGTGTGAGTTCTCGTGTGTGTCTTAAAATGAGCCGATTGTGCAAAGGTAGCATCACACAGATCGCACTTGTAGGGTTTCTCTCCCGTGTGAGTTCTCAACACACACACACACACACACACACACACACACACACACACTTACACACAAAATAATTGTGATCCAAAATTCGTGGGGGTGACATGTCCCCCTGTTCCCCCTGGATTTGCGCCCCTGTTGCACAGCAATGACATGGATGTGATTGGTTGAAAACTGTTTTGACGTGCCGCGCGCGTGCGCCGTCGCTTCCGCGCGCGACCAGCGGACGGGGCGCGACCGCCAGGAGGTGGCGAGACTCGTGGATGACAGCGGCGGCGGCGGCGGCGGCGGCGGAGACTTCCGTGGGAGCACGATCGCCGCGCCGCTCGTTAGCGCCGAGGACGAGCGATGCTGCACGCGGGGTCTCGTCGAGCGATTACGCGCGCGCATCCCCGCGCTGCTCCTCTGCGCGACCGCCGCTCACTTTGCGTCGACGGCGGCCGACCGCGGCTGGGCGTGCGGCTACAGGAACGCTCAGATGTTGCTGTCGTCGGTCGCGCGCTGGCCCGGCGTCGCGGCGCGCGCTTTCTCCGCCGCCGCCCGCGTGCCGACCGTAGCCGAGCTCCGGCGCGAGATCGAGGCCGGCTGGGGGGCGGGGTTCGACGCGGTCGGGCGGGCGCAGCTCGGAGGCCGTCTCGCCGGCACGCGCGCCTGGATCAGCACCACCGACGTCGTCGTCGACTTCCACGCGGCGACGGGCGCCGGTGTATCGCGAAATTTCTGACTTGCGAAATATCTGAGATAGGATGCCTATGCGCATGCGTACGCGTATGCGCATGCGCACTTCGCATGCGTCCCGACCCGACTAATCACAGCTCGTCTTTGTGTCCGAAATTTCTGACCTGCGAAATATATGATATAGGATGCGTATGCACATGCGCACTTTGCATATATGCTCAAATATGGCGATTTCCACTTTAGCTATAAGACACCAGCTGGTGGAGAAGGCGGAGGGGGAGAAACTGGTGGAGAAGGAGGAAGGGGAGAAGCTGGTGGAGAAGGAGGAGGGGGAGAAGGAAAAAGCTGGTGGAGAAGGAGGAAGGGGAGAAGGAGGAGGGGGAGAAGCTGGTGGAGAATGAGGAAGGGGAGAAGGGAGAAGTTGGTGGAAAAAGAGGAAGGGGAGAAGGGAGAAGGTGGTGGAGAAGGAAGAGGGGAGAAGCTGATGGAGAAGGAGGAAGGGGAGAAGCTGGTGGAGAAGGAGGAGGGGGAGAAGAAAATGAGCCGATTGTGCAAAGGTAGCATCACACAGATCGCACTTGTAGGGTTTCTCTCCCGTGTGAGTTCTCATGTGTGTCTTCAGAGCACTCGAATCTGAGAAGGCAGCATCACACAGATCGCACGTACATGGTTTCTCTTGAGTGTGAGTTCTCAGGTGTGTCTTCACACTAGCCAGTCGGGAGAAGGTAGCATCACACAGATCGCACTTGTAAGGTTTTTCTCCCGTGTGAGTTCTCATGTGTCTCACCAGACTACCCGAGTGTGTGAAGGCGGCAACACACAGATCGCACTTATATGGTTTCTCTCCCGTGTGAGTGATCATGTGTGCCTTCAGATTACCCGATTGTGTGAAGGCAGCATCACACAGATCGCACTTATATGGTTTTTCTCCCGTGTGAGTTGTCATGTGTGTCTTTAGATTACCCGATAATGTGAAGGCAGCATCACACAGCGCGCACTTATACGGCTTCACTCCAGTGTGAGTTCTCACGTGTCTCTTCACTCTACTCAGATAGGAGAAGGTAGCATCACACAGTTTGCACTCATATAGATTTTCCCGGAGTTAATTCTCACGTACTCCATCATGCTTCAGGGAAAGCTGCCACGTACTGGTCACACACGTCAGATATGTCTACCCTGTCTGGCGTTCAAATTACGACCACGTGTTTTGCGTCGAAGACAGCCTCGTCTCACTTGTAGAATTCACGTCCTATATATAGACTCGCCTACAAATTAGTAAAGAAAAGTGAAATCAATGCATTGAACACCGCGTATTGATGTAGAACAAAAACGCGCCCTGTTTATGTTTGCAATATAACTGTTTATTCTGAACATCGAATTAATATCATCTAAACATCACGCGTCATTTAACGACTGTAAGGTCCAGCACATAATATATCACAAAACTAAATATACTGAATTAATAGAAGGGCCACGAAGC